GTCGGCTTTTTTTTTTTTTTTTTTTTTTAAGATGGCCTCACGCGCTCAGGAGGTGTCTCTGCTCGGGCTGTGTGACGGAGAGATCGACTCCAAGAAGCACCGGTGCTCCTATCTGACCAACAAAGTAGGGGGTCGGCCGGACTGGCCGCCGGGCATCGCTGCCCGGTCACCGCGATGCGGCCGCTGCAGAGTCCCGCTAGTCCACGTGGTGCAGGTGTACTGCCCCGTGGACACGTCTCCGCACCACAGGAACCTCCACGTCTTCGCGTGCCCGGGAGCTGAGTGCAGCGGTCGGTCAGAGTGCTGGGCGGTGCTCCGCTCACAGTGCCTGGAGGCAGAGGTGCGGACACCCGGGCCGCCTGCACCGGCTCAGGAGGCTCCTATGCGGGTCACTGACTGGTGTGACACCGCTGACGACTGGGGGATGGGGGGAGAGGAAGATAATGATGGATGGGGAGGAGGTGCGAAGCAGAACACACCTGTGAAGGAGGAGACAGGAGTTCCAGAGGCAGCAGGTAGGGCTGGACAGAGTTGCATTTTTATCAAAGATTTGACGCTTTTTTTTCTCAAAATTTGAAAGTTTTATTCTAAAGGATGCCATATTTTATATATAGATTATAAATTCATAGCCATTTTTTCATTAATTTAAAGTTTTTCTCCTCGTGCCTTTGAGGTTCTTGTAAATTTGAAGAACTTTTCTCGTTACACTACAAAGGACCAAGGATAGAGGTCGTCTTTCAGCACTACTTCTTAGCCAACAGTTCATCTCAGGGTGGTTCAAACATGCTTCTTAGAGGAGCCCTGCCCAGACGCAGAACAGCCACTACGCAATAAAATAGAGATTCCTTTACTACTCCAGATTGGAGTAGTGAAGGCATTAAATACTTGGAACATATATTAGAAGGAACAGACTTTATCCCATTTGACAGACTAGTTTTACTATATGAGATTAACAAGAATAGATTTTCAGAATATCAACAAGTCTATAATAAAAGGAAATTTAAGCTTAATAAAGTCAAATTACAAACACCATCGAGTGTGGTACAATTCCTTAATCTCAAAACCTCCAAATTCCTGTCCAAAATATACAAGATGCTCTCCAAAACAGGTGAATCTATATCTCTTCCTATTATGAAATGGGAGGCAGATCTATCAGTCAGCTTGGACCACCTTAACACACAGGTGTAC